CTGACCATTTCCACGGTATTGCTGGTAATACGCGGCACTTGATCATCATCGGGAAATTTGACATCGTCACCAGTGACGAGACTGCATGGAACCCCATCTGCCTTGAATCGATGATATACTTCTTGCGCGAGCAATCTCAGCGGACCTGCGTAGAACCCATTCTTGCTTTTGGCCAGCCGTTGCAGGGCATGGTAGGTCTTTCCGGAATTTGTCGGCCCGACATGGAGATGGATGGTTCGCTGCATCGATCGTGCGCGCGGATACCACTCGGCTGGCCATCGAAGGTCGGCCACTTCTTGCTGTGCTTGAAGGATAGGCGCTGAAAACCTGGCAGTAATGTTTTCCGAATATTGCATGTATTCCACCTCCTCCCGCAGACCCTGAAGTCCGGAGGCGAGGTAGGCCTTTTGCAGCGCTACCTTAGTATGCCGAAGGGGTCCCCATTGTGCAGATGCCTTCTTATCGTCTGATTTGCAGGCATTTTTGATTTGGCGTTCAAATTGAGTCCATCCTTCTAGCGATTCGCCTGATTTATTCAACTTGCTGTATACATCGCGCAGGGTTGCTTCCACCAGTTCGTTGAAATCTCGTGCGGCCGCAATATCCTGCCGCATGGACCTTCCGGGGGAACCCCCCACAAGTGTTTTGCCTTTCTTTTGGTCCGCTTTCCTGTCCGGGGAGATAGCATGTTTGGCCTTTTTCGATCGCTGCAGAATCGACGTTGTGGTGAAGGGTTGTACGGCGAAACGAGTCAAGGGTCGCAAAGCGCAGCGGGAACGACTACCGGCAGTCCATGGCTGCATTCCTGGACGACGCGGGTTCCAATCCCGTAGAAAGGAACAATTCGGGGACAAAGAAAGTTGAACAGTTGTTAACAAAGAGAAGTAGAGAGAATGACCTTGGAAAACAGGGACATAGGAGACAAAACCAAAAAGTTCCCTTATCGACCCGATCCACTTTAAAGCTCCAATGGTGGGGAAAACCATCTTCCCTTCATATACCTCAGACGGCCACCTAACACTCCTGTCTTCCCTTGAGAACATCTTGTCAATCTTCTTCACTATCTGGCTTTTTTTTCCCCCTCTTTCATTCTTGTCCCAATCCTCAGAAGCCCCAAGTTGTGGGCTGCCCGCCAGCATGGGCTCCTCGATAATTAACATTCAACGCGACTGTGGGTGACTACTTCTACTACCTCTTGCAAAGAACCCTGGCTGACCCTGAACTGTCTGTAACAGTTATACTGAACACAATCCGCAATACCGGTGGCAATGAGGTGAGCCCGGCCCCTCCGATCAACCCCTCTACCTCGGATACTGACGCCGCCCTCCCCCCTAATAGTGGAAAGTCTTGGTGGTGGATGAGTCCAGCAAGAAATTGATCGAAGGCGCTGTGAAGGAGGAGGAAATTCTCAATCTCAATGTTTCCAGTGAGCTCGTCTTGTGGTTTGCGACTCAAGCGATTTCACTAATGCCACACCGCAGATGTCGAGCAGCTCGAACATCGAAGACCGTCCAATCCCGATATGGATGCGTTGTACATATTGTCCCCGGAATCGTACGTGGTCGACTGTCTGATGGCAGATTTCGAGGTGGGCCGATACAGAAAGGCATTCTTGGTGTGGACTTCATGTCAGTGGGCTGGTGAACCCGAGGGCTTTGCGACGTCATTCCGCTCACACAGCTTATAGACCTCGATTCGCAGCAGCGATCTCGGATTGACCGGTCCCAAATGGCGCGCGACCGCATCGCGGACTTCTACACTATGAACATCAATTTCTACCCCAGAGAATCGCGCTTGGTCACATTTCGGGATCCGTGGAGCTTCCCGGTCCTCTTCCACCCGGGTTGCAATAATTTGATTCGGCGTCATTTGGAAGAATTGGCTCAAAAGGTAATATATACTCTCAGAATATGCCAATTGAGCTTGCTGACGTTGAATAAAGGTCGTCTCTCTTTGCGCTTCCCTGGGCGAGTACCCTGTAATTCGGTACTATCGGCCCCGATCTCCGACTCACGAGGCCGGAGTTATGTGCTCGCACTTGGCGCGTTTCATTCAAAATGAATTGGATCAGTTCGCGCAGTATCAGCGTGACTTCCCGCCTCAAACAAACCGCCCCCGGGGTGTACTGCTCGTAGTAGACCGTTCCATGGACTTGCTCGCACCTCTCATTCACGAGTTTACATACCAAGCCATGGTCCACGATCTTCTTCCTGTCACGGATGGAGACAAGGTCACCTACAAAACAGTTTTAAATCAGGGCAGCAAACATGAGGAGGTCAAGGAGATGGATATCGGCGAGCATGATCGAGTCTGGGTGGACTACCGCCACATGCATATGAAGGATGTGCTTGGGAAACTGGGCGAGGACTTTGCCAAATTCCGAGCAGCACACCCTCAGTTCGCAGAAGAGTGAGTTTCAACAGGTCATCCCATACTAGAGTCGGACTACTAACTTAGGATTTTAGCAATGACAAACACAATGTGAACACCATTAAGGATATGTTGGGCGGACTGACAGAATTCCAAGAGGGTAAGAGTGCCTACACGCTGCATCTCAACATGGCACAAGAGTGTATGAACTACTTCCAGTCCCGCAAACTCTTGGAAGTGAGCTCCACGGAGCAGTCATTCGCCACGGGTCTGGATGAGAACTACAAAAAGGCAAAGAACTTAGCAGCGCAGCTCGTACAGCTCCTTGATGATGACGCTGTCATACAACCAGATCGACTTCGACTAATACTTTTGTACATCATCTATCGTGGTGGGTTGCTAGGTGGTGACATTCGCAAACTCATGGCGCACGCTGGACTCCCATCAAAGGACGGCGCGGTGATTGCGAACCTCGATCTCCTTGGAGTTCGTGTCGAGAAGCCTCTCAAGGACGAAAAACCACCAGTGCAACCTATTTTTGCCCGACGAAACCCACCGCCTGAATCAGCGGAGCTCAGCCTGAGTCGGTATGAGTTAGCTATCAAGCAGATGCTCGAAGACCAGATCCAGGGCAATCTGGACGCGACTTCCTTCCCCTTTACACGCCCGCACACCGAGACGGACGGCGCCATAGCTGCCCAAGAAATGCAGTCACAGCAGGCCTCTTTGCGCAGTGCAAAACCGACCTGGGCACGCACAAGATCCGTCGATCAGCCTCGACAGCGCATAATCGTCTTTATGGCCGGTGGTGCCACCTACGGCGAGTCGCGAGCCTGTTACGAAATCTCAGCGGCATACAACCGGGACGTCTACCTTGCCACGACACACATGCTGACCCCAGGTCTCTTCCTCCGCCAAGTAGGTGACCTTAGTGTTGACCGGCGTCGTCTGGACATCCCATCTGACCGCCCTAAACCCACCGCTCCGGCCCATCTCTTCGAGCGCGAAGCCCCTCCAGCTCCCACCCAGCCGCCGCAGAAGAAGCCCGTCTCAACAGCACACCTCAACCCCCCAGCTCCGCCAGAGTCGATGATGGCTGGTATGTCAATAAGCTCAAACGGAAGTGGAAGCAGTCCTGCCTCATCTGGCAACGGGAAGCACGACAAGAAGGATAAGGAGAAAAAGGACAAGGATAAAAAGGAGAAGAAGGAGAAAAAATACCGTTTCTTCAAGTAGCGTTCTCCACTTCCATTTCTCTTGATCCCATCCTGTTTCCTGTGTCCTGCTGTCCCCGTCCAGCGCCTTTGTGATACCATTCTTTCCCTTGTCTTTCTGTTGGTCTGGTCTGGTCCCGAGCATTCAAGGCGCTATTCTCAGCGGTTTTCTATTTCTTTCCCAAGATGAGTCTTATAAAGACTTAAGTCATGGGAATGTTTTCACTTCATTACAATTTATGCTAGGTAGAATCTGGACAACCAGTTTCAAGTTACAGTACCTAGCACATGGTAAATATTCAAGTCAATCACTCAAACAGAAACAAACGAAGCTCTCCATTTGAAACTGATATCCACATAAGACCAGATTACAGAATAACAGAATAACAAATAGGGGTATCATCAAACACAAATAAAACAAGAAAATAGCATATTCAACCCTCCAACATCCACAAAATCCATCACCTAAACCCCCTCCCCAAGATACTTCGAAACCTCATCATTCTGATAAAAAGCCTTCCTCATCCTCTCCGCCCTCTTCTTATCCTCCGCAGCTTTATTCCGCGCCTGCTTAGAATTAAGCTTCTGCACCTTCACCGGCGGCGCCGGTCTGGGCGGCAGTGGATCTCCATCCCGATCAAGACCCGTCCCCAACCCAGCCGTACCATGCTTGACGCGAGGTTTGATAGGTTCAAGGATACCCTCACGGCCCGATGCTCCGAGCCCAAGCCTGCTATCAGGATCCCAGCCGTAGGTAGAGAGGTATCGGAGACCTGTGCGCGTGCGGTCGAGGTGCGATGGCGGGTGGGAGTGAGTGAGGCAGATTTGGTGCGCGAGGGAGGCTTCGTGGGGTCCGTGCTTTTGGTCTGTTGAGTCTCCTGGGGCTTGTGGTGGGATATGTAGGTTGCACACGTCGCAGTGTTCTGGGGCCGCGGGCGCTGTGGGTGGAGGCGGAATGATGTCAAAAGCTGGCGGCGCGGAGTGTGTGCGGATCGGGGGCGATGACGGTGGCTGCTGGGCTGGTGTATTCGGTGACGTGTTTGGGGCTGGTTGGCTCATCACAATAGAGAGGTATTTGTCTGCGATGCTGGTGCCGGAGGAGGAGGGAGTTTGAGCTGTTGTGGTGTCTAGATCGGAGGAGCGAACGAACTGCACGCGTTTGCGCCGAACGCCGGAGCTGAAGGGACGCTGTTGCTCCGGTGGGAGGAAGTAGTCTTCGTCTTCGGAGGCCATGGTTGGGAATGGTAGAGCTGTGAAGGCAAGGGAAGAAAGAAGAGAAGAAAGTTGGGGGGCGGAGCGGAAAGAGTGCCGATAAGAGTCGATAAGATAGGCGGAGATACGTGCCCAGGTGTACGTGGAGAAATCCCTTTGGACACACACCTGTCATCTCTTCCCATCTGCCCATCTCAATTAAATATGCCCATCCCCATCATTGCCCAGGGTCTCCGGGATGGCATCTCGTCAATCCCGCATGCTTGGACATTCCTCCGCATAGCACCATGGGTGCTAGCGCTCGCGGCACTGAAATACTATTTCGAAGGAGCCCGCAACGGCTCCGAGCGAATGATGCGATCAAAGGTGATAATGGTAACGGTAAGACATTCCTCCAACACCACGCCACTGCCCAATTAACCAAGCTAACAAACCAACCATTAGGGCGGCACCTCCGGGATAGGCGCAGAAGTAGTCCGCGAGCTCGCAACCCGCGGCGCCCAAGTAATCCTCCTAACCCGCCAACCACCCTCCGACCTCTTCCTCTCCGAATACATCGACGACCTCCGCACGAGCACGAAAAACCCTCTAATCTACGCCGAACAAGTCGATCTCTCCTCCCTGCACTCAATCCGCACCTTCGCAACAAAATGGATCGACAACATCCCACCTCGCCGACTGGACTGCATAATCCTCGCCGGTGGGACAGCCGAGCCCTCCAGACCCCGGGCCCTCACAGCGGACGGCATCGACCCTGAATGGCAAACAAACTACCTCGCAAACTTCCACCTCCTCAGCATCCTCAGCCCAGCACTACGCGCGCAGCCCGCACACCGCGACGTGCGCGTGATCTTCGCAACATGCTCGAGCTACATCGGCGCTGACTTCAGCAAGCTGGGCTCCGTGGCTCGCGGGAAGCAGAAGGTGGTATCGAAACGCACGAAGCAGTCTCCCCCGCTGTACGCGCAGCCCAAGGGCGTTTATGCGCTGAGCAAGCTTGCGCTGACTATCTTCGCGCACTCGTTCCAGCGGCATTTGAATGCTTACGAGAGGCCGGATAGTCTGCCGCCTTGTACGCGGGTTATTGTTGTTGATCCTGGGTTGACACGGACTCCGGGGATGCGACGCTGGTTGACTGGTGGGTCGTTGTGGGGTCTTGCGTTGTACTTGCTCACTTGGCCTATTTGGTGGCTGCTGTTTAAGTCGCCTGTGCAGGGCGCGCAGAGTATTCTGTATGCAGCCATGGACCAGCAGTATGGGCGGGGTGCTGGTGGGTGGTTGATTAAGGAGTGTCGGGAGATGGATTATGCGCGGACGGATGTGCGGAATGATGAGGTTGGGAAGAAGCTTTGGGAGTTTAGTGGGAAGATGGTTGAGGAGGCGGAGAAGGAGAGTGCTGTTATGAGGGCTTTGGAGAAGAAGGAGGCTGAGGTTGAGAAGCAGAAGGCTGAGGCTGAGAAGGCGAAGAAAGAGGCGGCTGAAAAGAAGGGGAAGAAGACTGATGGGTCGAGGAGGAGTCGGAAGGCTCAGAAATAAGTGAGATATGTATACCTGTTTCGTAGGAATGGTATGATATAGACCGACTCGAGGGCTGTACTATACCGCGATAGGAGAACAAGCTCAAATCTATAGATCAAGCATCACAAAAAAGGAAATTCGTTTCATGTATTCTACCAACTAGATCCAGGACTTCTATATCAACAAAGGCAAGATCATCACAAACCACAAAGCATGCGTGCTACATCAGGACGCGAAGCAAATTTACTTCTTAAGCTGAGCAAGCAGCTCAGCAGGGGGCTCCTGGCGGTAACCCTGGGGGTTGTTCTTAGTCCAGAGCCAGAGATCCTCGCAAGCCTGCTCGAGTGTACGCTCAGCCTTCCAGCCGAGCTCGGTGTTAGCGCGGGTTGGGTTGGCAGTGAGGTTGAGAACATCGCCAGCGCGACGGGGAGCAACCTCGTAGGGCTGGTCCTTTCCGACAGCGGCGGAGAAGGCGCGGATCATCTCGTAGACGGTGCTGCCCTTGCCGGTACCCAAGTTCCAGGCGCGCACACCGGGGTTGTTAGCGCGCAGGTAGTTCAGGGCCTTGAGG